TGATTGTTAAAATAATACATAAAAGATTACAGCTGTAATTTATAGCTATATTTATAGCTGAATTTTATACATTATTATAGCTGTTTTATAGGTAGTTATAGCTATAATTATAGCTATAATTTATAGGTATAATTATAGCCAAAAAATTTTTAACTGAGGCTCCTCATCAAGATGGGCTTGATATGATTCTCGTCCTTGGCAAGCGGCGGGTCGTGCTTCCCCGTCTCTGAGAGGCGCCTCTGGAAATCGGCGGGTCATGCCTTCCTGTCCTCAAGAAGCGCCCGTGGAAAAGCGTCCTTAAACAGCGGCGGGTCGTGCTCCTCCGTCTCTGAGAGGCGCTCCCGAAAAGCGGCGGCTGAGTCACCCTTCTCCAATAAGCGAGTGCCCAAGCCCGTCTCTAAAAGACGGTAAGCTGAGTCGTCCATCCTTAAATGCTGTTATTAATTCTGGAAAACAAAATTCTTCTCCAGAATTCCTTGATAGCATCTTATTATTTGGGAATGCATCACTATTTATTATTATTATTATCACCTTCATAATCACTTCTTTTAAGATTATTATCATTATTATCATTACTACTATTATTTTTGAGGAGTATTACTCTAGCTTTTATTATTGTCGTAATGAATTTGAGCTGCCCGCCAACCGCCTACGTGAGATTCGAGCTATCGAGATCTGTATCGATCTATCACGGGTCAAAAAGGTTTAATTTGGCAAAAAATAACTAGCTCCTAACAATGTACAGGGGTCTGATCGTCTGATCCGTCTGATGCGACCCTTCGATACAGCCCGATACTGTTCGACATATCGAGAAACTTACGCTCTAATTGGTTCGTCTTAGTGATCCTCTACGTCCTCTAGTCTCTATTTTTTTCAAAACAACCTGACCACCCGACCAGAGATCTATATCGAACGGTATCGGGCTGTATCGAAGGGTCGCGATCAGACCTCAGGTTTGGAAATTAGTATCGCGATGGAGCTTTTCCCGGTGCTCAAGAATACTGGAGGGGTGAAGCAAGGCGTGGAATGAACAACTCGTTGTATAAGACAACTTACATTTTATTTATTACAACATGCGAAAACGAATTTAATGACGAACGAGACGCGTCGTTGTTGCTGGGCCAGCGCGAAGTGACGAAACAGTGCAGGCTTTCTAAAAGTAGGCTCTGCGTAGGGGAAAAAAGAGTCTTGTCCTGGTCCAACCGAATGAGTCATGTAAAAAAATTGTTGCTCAAGAAAATGTTGATGATTTAAATATGCAGAAATGAAAAAATTTTGTTTTTAGTAATTTTTACCATTTTATAAGAGATTTAATGTAAATATGTGGCTTTTACAAATAATTATTATTTCTGTTCTCGTTGGCACGCGACGCACTCACTATTTTGGCGTACGGCACGCCAACTCTTCTCTCAGTGCAGGCATGGTAAATATCCTCATGGTTGAATACGTTCTTTTTTTGGATATTCACAAATTTGGATAATAGAATTAGTTCCATGTTCCCGGTCTAACCGAATAACTCCAAAAGCGACTCGTAGCAAGAAGTCGATTGCATTTTTTTATCACCCACGTAAAATATAAAAGTCTTGTCTTAGTACCTAACGTTAGGCACAGCAAGAAACACGCAGTTTCTGCGCTGTAAAAAATTAGCCTTTCAACCTTTAAAGCCGTCTTTCTCGAAAATTACAAAAATGGAGTTAATCGGTTTGTCCGGGAAGCCACAGATATTCATTCTGATGATATCTAAATAGATAAAAAACAAGTCATAAGAACTTTCAGAAAATTGTAGAAGGTCTGTACGACTTATTCAATGATACGATTTCGAAAAGAAAAATTAAAATTTGCGGTGTTGAAGTTGTATAAAATTTATTTAAATTTCTCGAATAGCTTTCGAGTAACAATATATATAGCTTCTACTACCTACTATCTAACCTTCCCAATTTGACGTGATATGCGCTTATACATTTACGCTTTACGCGGCTCAATGTGACCGCAGCCTTTCAATTTCATCATACGGCAGCGATGATGCTGCCAACCTCATGCCAATGACTTGGGAGTTATATATCAAATAACTTGTTTAAGCCTACATTTAATGTTACACTCATTAGAACTAAAGGAAAAATCTTTAAATGTAAAAAACTCAAATACAAATAGTAAGATTGTGGAAGGGAATATTTTTAATGATTACAATGTTTTCATCACTTTTTTTTTTTATTTGTTTGGAAAATTAATTTATTTCCTTGGCGTGTTACTTTCGTCTTGGGTAATACTATTTGCATTAATTCAGGTTTGAGCATTTGCTTCATACTTCTGACAGAATTAGATTGAATAGCTTGGGTGGCTTCTGAAGTCTTAAACAGTGATTCGAAATAAGTAAGACGTTTTTTCAAAGAATAGTTTTCCTTCATTATCTGCGCTACGAAATTTTTGTTTCTATTAATTTTAGCATCATAACTCGAGCTGCTAGTCTCTTCTGCATAATATTTACAGAAACGAGTGAGCTGACGTTGATAAAGTTTTTGAAGCACGATTACTTTCGCCTCACTTTCAATTCTCTCTTTTTTTAAAGAATCTTCTAAAAGAGTGTTTTGTACTTCTAGAGTTCTTGAACTGTCTTTAAGATCAATAACTTTATAGAAGTACCTGTAAAATAAGTTTACTAACTCATCATGAGATAGTATATCAAGACGATTCATCATCGACATTTGCTCATCAACTTTTTTAAATTTATTTTCTATGCTATGTCCATTATTGCAGCGCATAATATTTTTTTGCTCCATCATGACATCAATGGATTCAACATATTCATCTATCAGTAATAATTGTCTTTGCTGCTCAAAAGAAGTTAAAAATTTGTTGTTTGCAACTTCATTTTTGGCTTCCAACAAACGATCTCTAATGACTCTCAAGCCGATTATTTCTTGACGCAAAATCTCGCACTTATCCCTGCTATCACTATTCTCAGTTTCCACTTTTTCGTTAACCAAATAATTTAAGTACGAAACTTTTTCATTTGTTTCTGTTAAATTTTCATCCGAATTCGTTTCCAGCTTAGAAGTACTATGCATATCACGTTCATGCACGAGTCCTCTTATTTTAAATACCTTTGACTCCTGAATCTCGTTCAACTCTTGTGATTTTTTTTGATTTTCATTGAATTTGCTCTCCGATTCTTTTCTGCGATTTTCTTCACCCTCCAGTACCTGCTTTAGTTTTTCCAACTGCTTTCTTGAAGTCTTAAGAGAGTCTTTAGCTTGTGCTAATGTCTTACCTGATTCATTCATGACTTGTTTAATCACTTTAGTATCCTTCAACTTTTTCTGGTAATAAAGTAATATACTTTTAAATTTTTCTATTTCAGCTTCATGCACAGAATCTTTTGTAAAGTTATTGACCTCTTTGAAATGAAGCATTCGTTTGATATTGCGACATTTTTCTTCCAGTTTGCTTCGACTTTTGTCAAACACACTATTGGCATTATTTCGGGTACTGCAAGTATGTCGCATTTCGTAAATGAACTGCTCTTTCACTTTTATAGACTTCTGCAATTCTTCAAACTCTTTACGAGCAAGATTCAAATCAAGTACAACTTTTTCCGCTTGCATTTGATTTTCATTATTCCTAACAATTATTGCTCCAATGGGATTTAAACTTTCGGACCAGACGTTTAAGTTTGGTACATTAGAAACTGTGTTTAAAGATTCTTTTTTAAGATTTTCATTAAAATGCTCATGACCTTCATTCTCTTTGGACGAAACTAGTTGTGATAAGTTTATATCGTAACTTGATTGATGTGTCAAACTAAGAGTTCTGTTACGTCCTTGAAAAGCTTGTTTTATTTCTAGACTCTCATTAGAGTAGGGCAATATGGAGACTCTTCTTGTGACAGAATTTTTTATTGGTAATAAATTATCAGTAATAATACGTTTTGGTGTTGATAAATAACCCGTTAAATTGAAAAAGTCACCTTTTTTTGTATCTATAATGCCATCAGTTTGAATTTTAAATGTGTTCATAAACTCTTCTAATTTATCTAAAAAGTGTGAATTTTCAAGCTCAGATTCGGTATCACTTTGATTGTCATCAAACATATCACTATCTGACATACTGCAACTTTTAGTTCTGCTCCGAGATTTCCAGTTATCTGATTCATCTGTTTCAGTGACTTCTTCAATCTTTTCTAAAGATTTCCTTGTATTTCCTGCAAAACCTTGTAAGCTACTTGAGTCATCACCTGCAATGCACTCTTCATATTCTTGTTTCATGCAAAGCCATTGTTCAATTTGATTTTTTAACAAATTTTGCTCATTTTGAGGCAATACATTTGTCGATATTAATTTATTGAATAAACCTTCAGCATTGAAAACTAATTTTGACCATTGGGAAGCTGCAAATGCAAGACGAAACATTTCTGCATTAGGACTTTGATCTCCTGATGTCTCACATGGCATATCATCTCCAGTATTATCATTCTCTTCCTCCTGATGGTCGCTTGAAGAAAAATATGATTGTAAGTAACTATTTGCACATTGATAGTATGTGCGCTGCTCCATTAACATTTGCTGTGGGTTAATCCAAGGTCCATAGTGCATCATTGTAGATAATATTCTGTAAGATAAAACTTGAGTCAATGAAGTTTACTGGTATGGTATGTACATTTATTAATTTATTTTGCATTTTTAATTGAATGTTTTGATCAAATTGTAGGATTCTTTTTATGAGCTTTTTTTTTAATGTTAAATAAAATATAGTTAAGAAGATAGTTTAGGCAGCAATAATGATTTCATAAATTATAATGTCTAATGCACTTATGAGGATGCAGACGATTAGATTAGTAATGCAAAATTTACCGTTAATAGTTTTTTGGTATTACAGAAAGATATGGTTTCTGAATGTAGTATTTATACTTAAATATGGTATTTTAAGAAAAGAAGTAATTGTGCATATATTTTTAAATAGGCCAAAAAACAGTTTGACTGTAGTTTGAAATAGTAAGTTTTAAACTACTCAAGTTAATTATTAAAGCAGACTTTAAGGAGGACTGGTCTTAGTGAGAGAACACAACTTCCAGAGAAGCAAATCCAGAGTTTTTTACAATAACAAGACTGCAGAAAAAAATAATTCACACACCTAGAAAGTCAAGGAATGGAATCTCTTGAAAAGGAGACGTGTTTACTATCTCTGATAGTAAAGCTATGGATGGCAAATGAGTGGTTTCTGAACTAGCTCCTGTAGTAATCAAACCACTTTTACTGCGTATGAAAGAAAAATTAGCGGTTTTGGTATAATAAAATAAGTCATTTAAAGAAATATCACCACATACAGTATCTTCATAAATTAATGAATGTAAAATATTTTTGCAAACAAGATGCGCTTTGACCAAAAGATTTATTTTATACAGAGTTATTTATACTTACTCAGTGTGATTGATTTAACAATTCCACTATATACGTATTATTTTATAAAAAACAATGTTTAAGAAGCCTCAGTGCATCGTGAACTTGTAGTAGATATTTGGGACGATAAATTTTTTTTCTCAATATGAATTCAAATCTAAAAACTCCACTGTTGCTTAAAATTCAACATTAAACGTAATACAAAGCTCCAAAAAATATGACACCGTGCAAGTAGTGCAAGTATGTGTATTATATACAGAACCTATTTTGTTTGCATCACTCATAGGCATGTAAGTGATGTAAGAAATACACAGGGCACGTTCGATTTTCATCGTTCGCTCGTTCGGTTCGTTCATTTCGTTCGTTTCGCTCGTACAGTTCGCTTATGGATTTCTAGTCAGTCTAGTGTCTACTAGTGTACTAAGTGAGTTCAGACATTTTGTGTTCATTGGCTTGGGTCATCCACTTCTGGTAATAATCATAGACATATAAAAAATAGACTGCTCGTTCTTGTGTACGGCGCTGAAGTACTAGTAGAAAGAAACACAGTATCGAACGTGTAAATCTGTCTCTCTCGCACGTTGTCATCGGAGGGGAGGTTGCGTCACATGGGAAAGCTTAGCGGGGGTCTAGTTTGTGCCTTCCTAAGCAGCCTAGATAGCCTAGCCAGGTCCTAGGGACTTAGGGAGGCAAAAGTATAGTTGATGATTAAACGGACTTCAGGTGAAGTTCAATCATAATTATACGAAGGACTTGTTCGAGGATTTTGAATGTATGTAGTACCCCATTTCATCGCCAGATAACACCACAGTTCGGAGACATGTAGGGATCAAGCCTACTATATATTATGCAAGGTCTAGCAGGAGCTCCCCAGGATAAGGTATTCTACAACAAGAAGGTTATACGTCCTGGTTAATAGTGTACAACTTGTTTATTATCGAGTCTTGTAATACAGGAGGACCGCTGAAGTGGGCGGCCGAACAAGCACTGAATGTGGTGCGGTACATGGTTACGTATACTGATATACTGTATAGACTAGGGATTTACTACTGCTCCGCTAGTGACTTAAGGTTGAATACCCCACAGTACTCCCCCCAAGTTATGACAATAACTTCATTAACAAAAATTCAATGTTTTAAACAACAATTGGGAGCAGTAGTGATAACGCATAACGATTTAACATATTATAATCACAGCAGAAAAAGTCTATCGCTTAATCGCGATTTTAAAATACATAATCTCTTATACGAGAACATTTACAGCATTTTCATTCTCTTGATTACTTGAACTGTACAACGTTTAACAACTTATTACAAAAATAAATGTCATTATGACCAACAATATATTTGTCTTATTAATATAAAAATACTTGGTTTTTATCAGTGTTTAGCACTACTTTTTTCGTTAAACTATTAACGTCTTTTTTATTTGAATACGTTTTAAGAATATGGCGCACTTCCAGAGCCTGCTTAGGCAGTGCAAAGGTCTCCGGAAGTGGTGGAGGCTGCAGGTCTTCTGGAATAAAGTGAGCCGGCTCAAGCAATTCGGTCGAGACTGTTCTAGGCGAACCGTTAACGACAATCTTATAATCCTGATCGGAAATACGCTCGATGATTTCGTGAGGGCCAGAGTAGAGACGCTCGAGAACCTCCCTGGAAGGCGGAGTTTTCAGAAATACGTGCGTGCAAGTACGCAAATCCTTATAAAAAAATGCACGCGGTTTGTAACGATGCGTGACAGGAACGGGTTTAAAGTTCCGCATGTGCACTCGAAACTCCTCCAAGAAGAACTGAGGATTCGGCCCGAAATCGTCCGGAAGACAGAATTCACCGGGCACCCTAAGAGAAGTACCACACAAAAAGTCAGCAGGCGAAGCCTTAGAGTCGAGACGCACAGCTGTTCGCAAACCAAGCATAACCGTCGAGAGCTGCCCAAGCCAGTTTTTGTTATTATGGCACATTAAAGCCTTCTTTAGATCCCGATGCCAACGCTCGATCATACCGTTTGCTGCAGGATGATATGCAGCCGTCCGAATCCGCTGAACGCCCAGGAGCCTCAGAAGCGCCTTGAAGATTTGCGATTCGAATTGGGGGCCTTGGTCGGTGGTAAGAGTACGAGGGGTACCGAAACGAGCGATCCAATTATCGAAGAAAGCTCGCGCTACAGTAATTGCTGAGATATCCTTAAGCGGCACGGCTTCCGGCCAACGAGAAAACCTATCGATCATCGTTAGGATGTACGAGTAACCCTCGCAGCTGGAAAGTGGGCCGACAATATCCATATGGATATGTGTAAAGCGACCGTCCGGAGCGACAAAGGTACAGGGGTCATTTTTAACGTGGTGAGAAATCTTTGAAGACTGGCAGTCAACACAGGTCAACACAGGTGCACCAAGCTCTGATGTCGATATGCATTTTAGGCCAAACATACCTTTGTCTGATGATGTTATCAGTCACTTTGGCCCCGGGGTGTGCAGGACTGTGAAAAAGTTCGAACACTCTCCTACGAAGAAGTTGGGGGACATACGGATGAAGTACACTTCCCGACACGTCACAAAACACTTTATGGTGGTCCTGACCCCACTCGATGCTCTTAATGACCAGCGAGTGCTTCTCAGCGCCTTCCAACAACCCAGCCAACTCGGGATCTGCCTTTTGAAGCTGAGCCAACTCAAGTAAGTTGAACTCAACAGGAAGACGTATAAGATCGACACGCGAAAGAGCATCAGCGACCGAGTTCTCGATACCGGCAATATGTTGAATGGAAGTAGTAAATTGCGAAACAAACGAAAGTTGTCTGCACTGACGAGGTAAAGCCTTGTCAGCGCGCTGCTTAAAAGCATGAATAAGGGGTTTATGGTCAGTAAGAATATAAAACTCCATTGCTTCTAAAAAATACCTAAAATACTTGGTTGCTTCATACACGGCAGTCAGCTCTCGATCATAAGTGCTGTACCGGGTCTGCGCTGGCGTAAACTTTCGCGGGAAAAAACCCAAAGGTCTCCAGCGCTCGCCCTGACGCTGCTCGACAACGGCTCCCATTGCCAGATCCGACGCGTCCGTAACCAGACGAGTTTCGGCTCCGGTAGCGGGGTGGCTCAAGAGAGCAACACCAGCCAAATCCTCCATAGCCTTTTCAAATGCGGCGTCTGCCTCCGGCGTCCACGCGATCTCACGCTTATCGTTTTTCACCGAACCGCGGATATAATCATTCAGAGGAGCCTGCGTCTCAGCCGCGTGGGGTATACCGCGGCGGTAGGTGTTAACCATCCCCAAAAACCGACGCAGCTGGACTACCGTCTTCGGCTTCGGGAAATTCAAAACCGCTTGAACGCTATCAGCTGATGGTTTGGAACCGTCACTATTGATAACGTACCCCAAAAAGTTAACCTCATCCTTGACGAGCTTACATTTACCAAGATTCAATTGCAAACCGAACCGTTCAAGCCGTTCAAGGACCACACGCAGATGACCGAAGTGTTCCTGCGCGCTCGACGAGAAGATCAAAATATCGTCGAGGTAGACGAAAACAAAGTCCAACCCCGAGAGCGCCCGATTAATATACCTCTGAAACGACTGGCAAGCATTACTCAACCCGAAGGGAGTACCAAGGTACTCAAACAGGCCAAAGGGGGTAATTACAGCCGTCTTCGGGACGTCTTCAGGCGCAACAGGAATCTGATGGTACGCCTTATGCAAATCTAGCGTGGAGAAAATGTATTTGCCATGAAGAGCAATTGCATAATCATGAAGATGAGGTATTGGGTAGCGATCGGGTTCCGAGACGCTATTCAACCTTCGAAAATCGCCGCAGACGCGCCACGAACCATCCCTCTTTTTTGTCAGGTGCAACGGACTAGCCCAGGGGCTACTAGAATGCCTACAATAACCCTCACGCACAAGCTGCTCGAACTCCAGTTTAACGGCCTTATATTTCTCCGGAGTCAGCCTTCTGACACGCTCTGAGATGGGAGGGCCATTGGTCACAATGTGATGGAAAACATCCGGAGAACCAATCTTTTTTGCCGGCTTGTGTCCTGTAACCTCTGGGAACGCGGACAACAACTTAGCTACTTCATCAGAAGACGTGACACCGACAGAAAAAGATGCGACCTGTTTAACGAACCCACAAGAAGACATGTTATTATTTGGGTCGATAAGTCTACGTTTACGAATGTCGACAAGGAGTCCAAAGTGATTGAGCAAGTCCGCGCCTATGATCGGATAAGGGACCGCGGCAACGCAAAACTTCCAACTAAATGGACTTTTAAGACGTAAGTCGACTAGCAACTGCACCTCCCCAAACGTTTGGATTGGTGTATTATTCGCGGCAAAAAGCTTAAGGTCGGTGGGTTTCAATGACCACGAAGAGTCTCTAGGAACCAATGACACCTCAGCGCCCGTATCGATAAGGAAAATAAGCCCCGACCCACCGTCACGTATATGGAGCCTTCGAGAAGGAAGTTCCTCGCCCACTGCTCCCACGCAGCGAGGACCATTTAGTTTTCCGAACGCTGCCAAGAGCACGGCGGAAAGCAACGATGAGCATTTGAACCGTATTTTTCGTGCAATCGACAAAACTTGGACTCTGAACCTACCTTCTCGTTACTACCAACGGAAACCGACTTGGCGACCGGCCTGGATCGGCCACGCGACCTGGATCTACCTTAGCGCGTCTTCAAGGACTTAATCTCAGAAGCCAACCAGGCAATCTGGGCTTCGAGCTTCTCAAACGACGCCTGCGATGCCACGGCACTCACCTGCAATTCTGTACCTGAAGCCTCCACGAACTTATCAGCTAACGCAGCCAGCCTGTCAAGATCTACAACCTCCGAAAGTGACAAGGCGGCTTTACATTTTGCAGGAAGTTGTTCTAAAAATATAGTCTTTCATATTTCAACATCGCATCTAACATTAAGAGCTCGCAACGCATTGAGTATCAAAGATGGTTTACCATCGCTATGAACTTGGCCTTTAATAAGTTTACGTGAACGTTCCTCCGCTGAGGATCCGAAAGTAGCAATAAGTTTATTTTTAACTAACTCAAAAATGTCGGCGGGTGCAGGGTCCCGTGTCATAATCTCCTAGATCACCTGAAGGGCTTCCAGGTCCAGCTTTTCAGCAATAAAATCGGCCTTTGTCTGAATTCCAAATCCCAGCATTACGCAGAGAAATTTCGGCCTGCAAAAACCAGGTCTGGGGGTTATCTCGGCAAAAATTCGGAATTTTAGGCTGTCGGTACAGAGCCGCAACCCTCGCATCGGAACT